TGAAATTTTATACGTAAAAGCGTATATTTCACTCGTTTCATCAGCTGTCAGAATGTGTGATTCTGCCCGAGTATAGGCTAACTTTACGTGCCTTTTACGACCATTTACTGACTATCAGAGGAGAAAAGGACAGTTTCCGCCAATTTTCACAAGTGTGTTTGAGCGATCTCGCCTTTTAAATTTACCGAAATTGTCTTTATTAAAAAATGGGACTCAAGAAAAATTAATGTGTTTTTCTCGCCTATGACGTCACAATTCCAACATGGCTGTCGCCGGTATTTAGGAGCCTTAAAAAGAACTATAAACAGTATTTTCAATTTTCATAAACTTATTCAACAATCATAAATTTTATATTTCAAAAATTAATTTTTTTAACAATAGGAGGATAGAAAAGAAGCATCCACGGAGCGTTTCACGTGTAACAAACATAACTTATTCATAAAAGAATTAATAAAAAAAAATAGTATAGGAAAAAGTATTTTATCCTTCTATGAAGAGAAACATAGAATCGCGCTCGTCTACACAATAAACAACATTCCCCCATGGTTACACAATGTACTATTACATTTATATACATTGTATCAGTAGACGCAGTAAAGTCTCCGGCCATGTTCAAAAATTGAAAGGCACTACAAGTCTCTTATCCCGAGCCATCAAAGGCCTGCATTTTTAGGCGGTGTATAACTACTAACATATAAAAAATTTTGAATCGAATGTTATATGTTCTGAAAAGCGGCATCGCCACGAGTAATTTGAGTCAAAAAATTTTAAATCGGTCAAGCCGTTCTGGAGATACAAGCGGTCGAAAAGTGATGATTTTAATGAAAAATTAAAAAACGTTTCCTTCTTTTTCTACTTCTTCTTCTTCTTCTTCTCTGTCCGCATTCAAAGCCGTATTAAAACTTTCTATCCCTCTTCTCTTACCTTTCTGCACTCACACCTTCACCACCTACCGCAATCCCTCACCCCTCCCCTCCCCCACTACCCCTCTCTTGATTTCATTCTCTTTCGTTATATAAAATATTTTTAAATCATTTTTTTATATATTATTGTATTATATTTGTACTTTGAAAATTAAGTGATATCCGAAAAAATCATATCATAAAAATGAAAAGTTCGAGCCATGTTCACAAAGGAGTACTCAAAAATTTAAACCTTTTTATCTAATAATAATATATTACCATGAAAAGTAACTGATATATTACAATATTAACATAGGTGCCAGTACAAAGTGAACATACATATAGTGTATGCAACTTTCGGCCGATTTTCGAATCGCCTCCGCCTTCCGCTGTCCCCCTTATCTCACCGCCCCGCGCACAGATCAAATGTCGTACCCCAGAACTGATTTGTATGAATTTAGGACTATTTTCGTGTGCGGAATTAAACTGAGCCGAAAAATTCTCTACCATTTTACAATTTTCGCAATAGTTATATCTAATGAGTTGAATATCTAAAATTGACGCGCAAGACAATTTTAAGATAAATTTAATAATAATAGGAAAAAAGACTACGAGCCATAATTTCGTTGTTGTAACTAATATACGTAGTCCAGCCCAAAATTGTTAAATACTTAACAACTTACAAAATTGTTAAATACTTTGCCTCATTAATTTTATCCGTTTATTCGGCATTCTATAGGAAAAAAAATTGGACTCTTTTATATATTTTATATAGTAAAATGTTAGAGGATTTTTCCATACAATTTAGTTCACTTTATCTGCACAAAAATAGTCTTAAATATTCTGAGAGATATTCTATGTGTATGTGTGTACGTATGTGTATTTTTCATATACGTTTATTTTTTATGTACATAGGTTAACTAATGATGTAGCAAAAGACATATCAGAAATTATAGTCACTATTTTTCCAAATGAAAGGACAACTACCTATTTTGTACCACCCATAAGGAAAAAGAATTCTGTACATAATAAATCAATCATATCCACAGGAAAATTAATGTGCAAGTGGAGGAATAAGTGCACGTTATGCAAAAAATTTGAAAATCAAAATGATGGTACGTTTATTTATATATAAATTATAAATGTATTTATAATTAAAATATAAGTGTATAGAATAGGGCATCTAAAATAGATCATCTGAATAACACAATTTTTGAGATAGGAAAAAATTCTTAAAATAAAAGTTGTTTAGTATCCACGGGATATATCATATGATGGTGCACATTATTTTCCAAAAAGAGATGCTTTGGAAACTTGAAGATCAACTTCATTTTTTTAATTGACGTTGATATCAATGACGATATTTTATACTTTATTTTAGCACAATAATATTAACATAAAATATTATATCTGCTATTAAAGCAATTTCTCGATATTTATACTTATGACGTCTATATAGATATATATATGATATATGTATATCGTTACAATTAGCAATATTACAAGAAAACGTACAAACGTAGAAAGTACTTTACTTTTGTATATTTATATGTATATATTGTGACGTGACACTTTGTGTCAGTCACTAGTGATTGCGCTAGCACGGAGATCCTGTGTCCTCTAAGCTCGAAGGGCGAGGGCACAAGCGAGCGTGCCAACGTAAATTATTGATTTTTCGATACCTTTATCTTAATATTTTTATATGCAGGAAGAGGAATCGCATATTATGTAAAACAATCTATATAATTCCATTTCAAGAAATTAAATTACATTTTCAAATTTCCCAAGCGCTTTCACTTAACTCAAAAGAAAAGCATTTTTATAAACTGTAATTGTTGTGTTTAAAAAATCCAATTTATAATATTTTAACATATCGATATGTTATGACACTAACAATAGAATTGTAGATGTATCTCATGCGAATTAAAAAAGTATTAAATATGAAAATTAAGAATTAAATGATCTTCAATAAAATTTATTAAAAAATGAATATTTTCTAGAACGCTCTATATGCTTGCTCGTAAGTCTTTCTCTCTTTATTATTAGTTTGAAAAACTTAACGAGCCTTCTCACTACATGTTTTGTTTTTTTAATTGACTAAGGCCTGATTGCACCAACGTGATTTCGATTTTAAGCGAAACTTAAACTGTCTTTGTCTCTGTCTCCCTTTCGGCTTTAAAACGAGATAGATAGAGTTTTGCTTAAAATCAAAAAGTGTTGATGCAACTGGGCCTAAAATCAATATTTTTAAAAATAAATAATACTTATAACGTTAATTTAGTGCGTGCTGTGTGTGGGCATCCTTTCGATTAACTGTACATGTAAACGTGCACGTTTTAACGTTCTGAATTTTTTTCAAGCATTCGATACATCTCTGTTTTGCAATCTAATTAAAGCATAGATATGAAAATTTATTCGATATCAAAATTCACCAAAATTCCGCTTTATGTTCTTTCGTTGACTTTTTTTCGGGTAACCTAAAACTATCGCACTAATTCTAAATGACAAAAATAGACAGTGGAAACGCAACTCTCGCCTGTATCTCCAGCACGTCGGAGGACACCGATCATGAAGAACTCTGATCATGGAGAAAACTCTCATCGTGCGAGCCTTCTCTCAAGAAGTTCATTCCTCTTCACAAGCTAGTCGGTATTATCAATTTATTCACACCGTTAAGAATCTTGCGTCAACGAGAAAACTTCGTTATTAATATCAGTATAATTTAGCGATAAACGAAGTTTCACACAAGTGACTCTTACATTACATCTTCATTCGATATCTCTCGACCATAAATGTAATCGAAAAAGATTCAATAATGAAACGTGTCTTCGGAAAAGAGACATGTTGAAAGCAAGAAGAACGAATATTTTAATGAAGTTTGTTTCTTTTGAGACTTGCTATTAACATTTTTTTATACATTTATACCCACGCTAAAAAAAAGAAGAAACAAAGCATTTTTTTAAATTAAACTGAAACAATCGAAACTCGTGCTTGTTTTGTTGTCAACTCTGTTCTTCTTTTGATAATCTTGAATTCTTCATAATAATCCCATCAAATCTTACGTCAATTAAATACATACTATATATATTGCAATAATCTTTATTAGTTCTTTTATTATGCAACATAAAATTGTATCTCTCATAATAAAATAATTACTATTATTTACAACATAATTTTTACAAATATTGAAATTTGTGGAAATAGAGATTATTGTATCCGTGGTATAATATATATATAATAGAATGTTTTTTTCTTTCTTAAGATAACTAATTATTTGTTTATGTAGCTAAGAAACCACCATCGATGGGCAAGCTGGCACCTGCACTAATCATAGAACTTCGGTTGCTTAATAAATATACAACAGGATCCACTACCTCATCGACATCTACAACACAATATTTTGATCCGATTAAAAAAATTCTTCTTTTGTAACTAATGTACAAAATATAATATTAGATGCGATAGTTTGAATTCTTGTAAACGTACGAAAAAATGAGTATGTACATAAGTTTATAAAATAGCTACATGTATATACAGGGTGTCCCAGTAACTCTGTTACAAAGCAATGTCTCTGTTACCGTTAATGATACGCGAAAACGTCTAAGGAAGAAATTGTTTGATTCGGAGAGGGATATATTTTGGTCACCTTGTTTTTTTTCTAGGTGGCGGCGCCAAAAAGATATGAAGGTCACCTCCATCTTTTAAATGGAATTGTATAAATTCTTTTTACACAAGTATGATTCTTCTAATTATTTTGCATGTAAAAGTATTAAGGTAGATATATCAAAAATTAGTTTACGAGATATTTAACTTTTTATGTCAACATATATATGCCAGAATAAAATATAAAATATCTCGTAAACTATTGAGTTTTTAATACATCTACCTTATATATCTACTTTTATATGTAGAATAATTAGAGGAATCACATTGTGTAGAAAAAATTATACATTTTCATTTAAAAAAATGGAAGTGACCTTCGTATCTTTTTGGCACCTTCACCTAAAAAAAAACAAGGTTTCCAAAACATGTCCCTCCTCTGAATCAAACAATTTCTTCCTTAGACATATTCGCGTATCATTAACGGTAACAGAGATAATGAGACATCCTGTATATATTTAATTAGTTAAACTATTATAGTTCTATATACATATATAATATTTTTGGTGTAAGAATACTTTTTAACTAATTTTCTTTACAATTAATCGTAGTAAGTTTAATTTAAATTGTGTTTGTTTAAATTATTAATTTAAATATTTATATTTTTGTGTCATATAAAAATATCACATATACCAAATGCTATCTGTCACAGTTACTGATTATATTCTTTTTATACTTATCGATCATATGTCAGTACGTCATGTTGATGTACGAAAATCTTCTATTTAGTGAATGATAAAACATTTGTGACTCAATATTGCATAATTGAACATTATCATGCCGTGGAATGATCACAAACTAACGAACAATGTTTTAATTCCTATAAAGACAATTACTACATATTATTGAAAAATTCATTTGATAGATTTGTATACGACAGATTTAAATTATGTGGATATTGCTATTATGAGTGACAAACGGATTACGAATTAACATTTATACATCTAGAATAATGTAGTTTAATATACAAAGTTTAGGTGCAAATTGTAATGCAAATAATTGTTTGTGTTTTACAAAAATTTCAACATATGATTAGTGTATTTCTTGTAAGTTAAAAAATTATATGAAATTGTCTTTAAATGTTTAATCATGTGTAATCAGAGCAGATCATACAACATTAAAATTGAATTTGTTTAATTTACTGTATATCATTCCTTTTTATTTCCTTATAATTTTCAACGACTCATGAAGTTTGGAGATATCATTCTTATACATATATTCAGTAAGTTACATTTACACGACATTCGACGATTCTGACTGATACCAGAAATATGAAACTAAGAAAACTAACTCGTGGTTGCTCAAGACTCATGCTATTATTGTGTTGCAATTGTACTCGCGATTCACAAGTTATTTATATATTTCGAGTAGAGAGAAAAACAAGCTAAAATTAAGAAAAGATTCGTTTTTGATATTTCTGACGAGATTTGAACGAGTTATCCTACATCTGTGTTTGTTTATGTTGGCTCGTTCGAATATTTAATTATATTTTAATTGAATTAAATTTTTGAGGTGAAATAAGAGAGGGTCCGATAATGATGGAAAAGTGCTGAAATCTTGTCTTTTTCATTATTCGACCGAGAATCATCAATCAGCTCCGTTTTACTCTCGCTGCCGGCTACATTTGCGTGTGAGCATCTCCAAAAAGTGAAAAGAAGAAATTAGAACGGCTCGTGCACTACCAGCAGTGTGCGCGGTTTCGTACGGCGATCACGACGACGAAGGAAAAATGGCAAAATTGATCGTCCAGATCATGGTGGAAATATACAAGGTGAGTCGTTCCCGTGGATACGCAGTAGCCTAAAAGTAGTGGAGAGCAGACGCAGCCAATCATAAATGCCTCATTTGGCATAAATCCAATATGGCTGTTAAACCATTTCAATAAAATATTATATTTACATACACTTGTTTTGATAGTTTTTGTATAATCCAATAGTATTTTTCTACAAGTATATTGCATGTAACATACATCGCAAGTCCTCTCCTCTAGTTTCTTTTACGTTTCATGCGCTTAAAATTAGAAATCGTTCCGTTATACAAAAGCGCGCTTTTCCAGTTTTCCTTAAGCGCGCTTTCGACTTTTTTTTAACGACAAACAGAAATAAGGAGTTTGTACGAGTCGCAGCATATGTATTCTGTATGGCTTGAAATCGATTCTCTTTGCGACGTTTGGTAGTGGCAGCGTTTAGCATGTTCTGCGCAGTGACAGAGAATTTTTGCATACGTCTACGCGCATATATACCAGGCACTTTACGAAACACGTTATTTAACGCGTATTTACAGTCATGATGAATCCCATACTCGCGGGTGAGTTGTTGTTCTTCGCCATCTTCGGTCAGACGACACACGAACAATTCAAGGTACACAGGTTCCAGCCCTTATGGACAACCGTCCTCTTCAAGATCACCTTCGGTATTTACATGTTGGTGTCGGTGGTGGTGCTTATTAATCTTCTGATTGCTATGATGAGTGATACCTACCAGCGGATACAAGCACAGTCGGACATCGAGTGGAAATATGGATTGAGCAAGCTTGTTCGAAGTATGCACAGGTAGTATAAAACTTACCAAAAAAAAAACACGAAAAAAAATGGCTGCGATGAAATATAAACAAATTTAACTAGCAGATCTGAAAATAATTCTCTGTTGGCTGTTTCAAGTAATTATATACATATACATATATTCAAATAATTATATACGCCCACACGCGCGTGCGTATGTAAATATAAAGTAATTTATACATAAATAATTTATTATATATAAAATAAATGTATATAGGACTGATAGTAGTAGAATGTTAAAACTTTTTGATTCCTACACAATTATTTTGATGATCCGACAAAATTATTTTCACAGTTACATCTAGTTAAATTTTTTAATACAAAAAAACAGTAGGTATTGTCGCATGAAAGCATCATTTATTGTATCATTTATCGCACTAATAGATCAAATTTTCAATATA